ACCATTTACATCTCTAAGAGACATAATTGCACAAAAATAGTTTATAACAGGTATGTAATTAAACACATTAAATTTAACCCAATAGACCAACTTACAGTTTTTAAAAACCCCTCTAAGACTATTCAGAATAATTAACAAGACCAATTATCTGGACAAAGAGTATTCAACTATGAAACTAACTAATCAAAGTAAGATATAAACAAAATAAAATAATATTCTAGAACCAATAAAAATTACTATTAACATCACAAACCTGTTTCTGATCATGATACCCACAGGAACAGATTTTTTTTTTAAAGCCTTCTGGTTAGTACACATGTATGAATCTCTTTCATCCTCTACTCAGCAAACAACAAATATTTCCTCTCCTATCTCTGGCTCCTAAAACCATAAAATCAGGCTATCCATATTGCACTAGTCAATTCACCCCACATTCTACTGGAAGGGAGTAAGATGGCCAGGCAGGCCAATTAACACCACACAGGCTGCAGCTGCAGTGGAGTCAGAGAGCAAAGAACTGATTGAAAGTAGGCTCAGCTGAGCAGGAATAGGTAGGACCTACAAAGCCAGGAAATAGGCAACAGATTAGGGCTGTGAGGAAATGCTACAATTATTCTCTGGAGAAGAGCATATACCCCAGAAAGGAATGACAACAAGAGTAGTAGAAAGCATCCCAGGAAAGATGCAGAATTGTTAGGTTGGGGATTGCTAGCTTAGAATGTAAAGTGGAAACAAAGCCTGGATTCCCCTACAGGACACTGAGTCAATAGCACCTGAGACAATGAATGGGAAGTTTGCCTAGGACTTTGACATACCCCAGAAGGGAGAATGCTAAGGGATGGGACTGGTGTGCTAAGTCCAGACCTGAAAGACCCAGAGATGGATACCACATGCAACCACAGGAAGAATTAATGTTGAGAGTTTATTGCCAGAGTGATGAGGAAGAAGCACCAGATGAGTAGTGAGTGGAGAACCCCACTGCAAAAGCTTACCAGGAATGAGAGACTGAGGCAACACAGACCACAGGGATGCATACTTATTCTGGTGTCTATGCTACTATTTAGCTTTCAAGCATATGTCAGAGAAGAGGCTTTCTACAGACACAACTGCCATCTTTGGGTCTTTTAGGCAAACTGCACCCCAGACACAACTGGTAATCAGAGCAGAGATGAAAAGCTACATCTGGGTGACAGAAGCAGCAGTTTCTCTCAAACTGCTTTTAGCTGAAATGGGTCAGGGCATCTGGCTTGGCCCTTCCCTCTGCTGTGGCAGATGGTCGGGCTGAGGGTTGTACAGCTGTGTCTAAGGAACTGCCAGCATGGGGCCACCAGCTGGTCCCATGTTTTGCTCCTTCTGTTGCTGTGGTCCGATTCAGAGCTGAATTGAACGGCATGGTGAAAAGAGCAGAATGTGGAGTTGCCCCACACTGGTAGCTCCTCTGATGTGGCTGTACTGAACCTTTCCTCAGCTGGGCCTCACCTACAGCCTTGTTCTCCAACAGGGCTGTACAGAGCCCAGGAAATGCAGCTGTGTGGAAGAGCTGGAGATGGTACAACCATGCCAAAGGAGCTGCTGGCATGGGGGCTGCCATTCTGCTTCTCTCACCACTGTGGTTCCAAAGAGCCTTATGGCTCAGAAACCTGTCTATGGTGAATGGTAATGGGGAGGTGATGGGATGGGGGAGCATGGGTGCCCTGTACTCAGGGCTGAGTTTGGGAGGAATTATGTGGGCAAGTCACCTGCCTCTGTTTTGCTGGAGCCCCCTTTGTGTCCCTCCCATGAGTCTCCCACTCATCTAACAAACAACAAAGTCCAGGCTTCAGTTTCTTCTGGTGGATGAGTAAATACAAGTTGAAAACATAAACACAACCCTTCACTACCACTGATGACCCTGCTGAATATCCCATAGTTACAAAAATGACATCAACGCATCCTGAGTGCAGTGCATGAACCACACTTAGGGATGTAAGCAACTGGTTGACAGGTTGACTAACCAGTAAACCTAGGGTTATCGTTAGCTGAGTCAACTACTTGCATCCCCCCCTTGCTGCCTATCAGAGCAAGCAGAGAGGAGCAGGACCTGAGGGGGTGCCAGTTTAAAAGCCAGTTCCCCTAAGCACTGTTTTTGCGATGCTGCCTCCCTTGACCTGCTGCCTCTATCAGAGACAGCAGCTGGGGGGGAAAGGAGGCTGCTGTGAAGCAGGCTCTGCCCGCGGCAGGCCAAGGTTGGCTGCAGTCAGAGGCTGCTCTAGCTGGTCAGACAGCCCAGGTCAGTCTCAGCTCACGCCAGGTCTGGGATCTACTCCTGCTGCAGCTCTGCAGTTTCAATGCAGTAGGGGCCGGACTGCCTGCCCACCTGGCTCTTACTACTTTTAAACGGCAGAGCCACCACAGGTGTAGCTCCTGGACCCAGCACAAGTCAGGACTGAACACTTCTGCCCTTGTCAACTAATCGTGTAGTCAATAAAAGTTCTATTAACTATATGCCTCTCATATACAGGCAGCAAGGGGGGAGGAGAATGTGAGTAGTAGACTCGACTACCCAATAATCTTAAGCTTATCGGGTAGTAGACTAATCGATTACTCTTTTACATCCTTACTGAGCAGTCAAGCTTTTTAGAGAAGTTGCCATCTGTAGTCCTTTTGTGCAAATTGCAGCCAGAGACACAGTGCTTGGTAAAAAGACAAAGTAGTAGAGTAAAATAGATCAATCAGTAAACTTCACAAAAGAAAGTGGTGCGGCTCATTCCACCTGATGATTAGACAGGGGGTCCATTAATGGTGATACAGGCTTTTTCCAAGCACTTACTCAATATATTTTTACTGTCTTGCAGTCAGTATTTATTAAAGGGATGCAGTTGTACCTGGCATATTATATTACTCTATTAGCTATACGATAATTTTGAATTTTAAGAATGTGTATAATAGACAGGGCTGATAGCACCACCTAACATTAAGTTTTCCCAGCACCTCCCATTGTAAGACCTTGTCAGCTGCTTATAATGTTGTCAAATTTTAACAATTCTGGCTCTATCTGTTTCCATAGTCATGTCTGCCTCAAGCTGAACTTTTTTGGAAATTTTCAGCCAAAATAGTTAATCAATTGCCAAGAACGAGGCTGAGCAAAGTATGCCATTTTGCCCATATTAAAAAACCTCAACATTTTCTTTCAGACCCTCTGCTTTAAGACCCACTGGAGCAGGAATCTGACAGCAAGGTGACCTTTGTGTCAAGGATGTGTCTTTTGCTGTCCCTGTGAAAATCTTCTCAAATTTGTGCAAGATATAAACCTCTTAAAACGTGAAGCTTGCAGATCCTCAGACTTGTTCGAGCATGCTTCTGCTTGGAGATGAGCAAGACTTCCCCTGCCATCACAGCTGTGGGCAGACCAAGCACCATAGCTGAGCGCCTCTTTCTCCTGTGCCCTCAATAGCCTCCCATTCTGGGCCCAGGCAGCAGGAAAGAGGAATTGATCTGATTTGAATGTAATGGGCAAAGTACCAGTCTTTGGGGGGGGCGAATAAGGAAGTACACAGAGAGATCCTGGAGGCTGCCAGGGATGACTAGAATATGAAATGGCAATTGGGTTGAGAGTGTAGAATTCTTGGACTAAGAAGTCTTGGACTAAGAAGTGGGGATGGAAATAGGCAGAGATGGACTGGTTGCCTGGGGCAGAGGGCATGGGGAAGACTTGACTAATATGAGGAACAGGGGGATGACTAGAACTTGATGGGTAACGAGATTAAGACTAAGAATCAGTGAGTTGGAGACAGCAAATATTTCTCCCCTCCTCCTTCATCTCTTGAGGAGCCATGCTGTGGGTATAGAACTGAAACAGGCTGGACAAGAAGGTTGGAGCAGGAGTCACGGAGATTGGATGAGGAGCCTATGAAAGAAGACTGGCACTGGGAATGAATGGGAATGAAAAAAGTGGGAGGAGGAGAAAAATGGAAGCCATCACATTACATTCAAAGAGAGTCAGCTCATATGATGAGTTAGGAGGGAAGATCTGAGACTGGCTGGGCAAGGAGACTGTGGTGGTAAAGACTGGGTATGGCAGCGCGACTGGGATTTGGTGTCTGGATGGAGAGATGAAGACTTGCTGGATAAGGAGAGTGGGATTTGAAACCTGAAGAAGAAAGAACAAAGCCTTCTAAGTGAGGAGACAGATTAGAATCTGGAGCTAGGGAAGTGATAGGAATGAGATAAGGACAGGTTAGAGGGGAACTGGCAAAAGGGGTCAAGGTTTGGGAAATGGTCAGAAAAGTCCAAGCCCACTAAAGCCAGTTCCCCTCCAAAGCATGGAACAGAACCCAAGATTCCTGAGTCTCATCATCCCTCTGCATCAGCAAATAACTGTAAAGCTGGCACAATGTTCTCTAATGCTGGTTCATAGAGAAGATAGCAACCTATTACTAGAGATGTGAACGGGTAACTATTTAACTGGTACCCCAAGAGCAGTCCCCCTGCCCACAGCCTGCTGCGGACAGAGGGCTGCCCCAGCAGGGCCAGGAGCCAGTGGCAGCAACAGCCCCAGCCCTGAGGTCCAGGAGCATTTTGTCACTGGCATAATCTCACCGTTTAAGTCTGAGGTTTTACATTTTATAATATAGGTTAAAAGTCTTAATAGACAAGGGAATCAAGATGTACTCACTACATCTATTCAGTTTAATAAGTACTGGTAACTTTCAAAATCTCTTTTCTATCTTGTTCTTGTGTAAAAGGACAGGAATCCTGCATTATCCTCCCTGAATTGTTAAGTTTTCAGCAGTATCACAAAACTCCATAGAGAAATCTTTTTCCAGAAAAGAATATTTATTACTCAACTCAGGATGTGTTTGTGTGTTTAAAAATAACACCAAATGACACAAAATAGGAATTTTAGTTATTAAAATAACCAGACCAGAAAGGTTTGGCTTCTATTTTCATTGAAATCTTCTTTTAAAGGTAAAGGTAAGTCACTATCATCATCATTGTATAAGGTTAAACTTTCCCCTTACCTCTTGCATTTTAGGTCTGCTGGATTAAACTGAATGTTCATGATTCCATAATCACCCTCATCACCTCCAACTGGGATCAGGAAAGGTTTGGTATCCTCTTCCATATTTGAATAATGTATTTTTTTCTTGTAGGTCCTGTAAATTATTCTGACCTAAACAAGTGAAACAAGACAATTATTAGCAATTAAGGTCCTGATACCATTATGAGTTTATCTGGGCACAGGGTTCATCCAGGTCATACAAAGCAGCCAGAAAGTTAACTAGCTACCTAGAAACTCCCATTTCATAAAAGGAAGGAGGTTGGGGTGGTGGATAGCTGGCACAGAGTCTCTCTACAGCATGCTACTGTTTCCAGTGTAGGGACGCAACCAAAATACCAATACTCTCCAGCTTCTGGAACAGCCAGAAATGAATTAGAGCATCCTTGCTGAGGACTAGATCAGTCCCTTCCTAGCTGGCCTCAGGATCCAGGGGCCACAACCATCACTCTTCCTCTTTCCCAAACTATGCTAATCACAACTGAAAATCAGGCCCATGGCATTCAAATAAATGTTAAATATAGTGATTTCCTTCTAAACTTTCATCATGTTCAGACCTTCATAACATGAAACTACCTTCTGTTCTCAGTTATACCAGTGTAAGCTTCAAATAAATTCACTGATTCCAATGAAACTACTTTCAGTTCACAGCCATATATCTAACCCTTCTGCAGTCTTCTGGAATCAGACTCAATATTCAGGAGGCTCCTGAAGACAAACTGGGAGATCAGCCACTAAAAGTCCAGTGACGTAGCGGAGCAAAGGCAGGCCAGCACATCCCTCCCTGTGACCCTTAGTCGGGCAGGTGGCGGGTTGGCTCTCAGTGTGTTGCCTCTGCCCTGCATGAGGAAATGGGGCCTCTAGGAGTTGCAGGGGCAGCATATGGAGACACCTAGGGGCCACAGGGAGGAACATGCCAGCTACTTCCAGGAGCAGTACAGGACTAAGGTAGGCAGCGAGCTGCCTTAGCCTCGCTATGCTGCTGACCAGGACTTGGAGCTGCCTTAGGCATAAGCTGTCTGGCTGGAGCCTACACCGACCCCCTTCCACAACAAACCTCTTCCCTGAGCACTCTTCTACAGTTTGAACCCCCTCCCTCATCTTAACCCATTACCCCAAGCTCAGCTCACACTTAATAAAATTTCTACTTAAAATGCTTTATAAATGTGCATGGTAGTTTGAAAAAGATATTGACTAGCTTCTAATCTGATTTATGTTGTTTTTACATTGGTGTAATTTCACAGACTTCAAATGAGTTGCAACAGTTTGAAACTAAAACATATGGGATCAGAATCAAACTTTAAAATTAGGAATCTAAAATTTTATTTTAATCTTCATGTCTCAGCAAGGGAATCTTGGACAATGAATGAGTTAATGAGAATTTTGTGGATGTGTCAAAGATGACATGAGGAAATCCTGGAGAGGACAATTTAAATACATTCCCTATCCTTTATACTGCACATCATTTCCAATATTTGCTTGAATTGTGAAATTAAATGCTTAAGAACTTAGGCAACAAATACCAGCATAACTATGCATAGGTGTCTCAGAATATGGCAGATAAACATCTGAATATTGAGAACATGTGACAATCTTCTTACAAATGAAAATCTATCCTACATGCATGTGCACTGTGGCATCATTTTGCCATAAATGCTTATTTGCTTTCCTCACTTCACTTCCACACAGCCTCTCCCACGGTTTTCAACACATTCATCATCACTTATTTCATCAAAGTCTCCTCCCCTTTTCCTTCACTACCTCTCCTCCCAGAAGCATTATCTTCTATTCCTTTAACCCATCTCTCCTCTAAGCTCTTCCCCAAACTAGGGAGATAAGCGATTAATTGACTAGTCAACTATCCGATAAGCAAAAGCTTATTGGATAGTCAACACACTAGTCAACTAGTCGCTCCCCACACTTCTTGCTGCCTCTGTCAGAAAGAGGGGGGCTGCACTGGGCATTTCAATCTTATTTCAAAGGTGGAATGCTGCACTAGTCCTTATCAACTAATCAAATAGTCCATGGAAATCCCATTGACTTTGATTAGTTAATCCTCACCTCTTACATCCATGTACACTTCTGCATCCTCTTCTAATGACTCGTCTCACCTCTGGCAATCTCTATTTTAATGTTGGTTAGCATCCCTCTGTTGATTCATTCTCTGCTACCACCTCTGTCCCAATAGCTCTTTTCTAACCAATTTGTGCTTATTCTCCCATTCCTGCCTCTTTCCTTCTCTGGCTTCTTCTTTCTAGAATTCCTGCTCCATCTACAAAACTTACCAATATTCATAATCTCTCCACTTCATTTTCTCTCCATATCCTTGAATTCCCTGAAACCTGGCTCTTACCATCTGACATCACTTCTGCTACTGCACCCTGTCACACAGCTTCTTCTATTACCTCTTTCCCAAGGCATCAGCAACTTGCCTTGCCACTTCCAATTCCTCCCTACCACTCTTTTTCAAACATATTAGAGGCTGATCTACATTGTTAAGTCTAGTTGGCTTAACTACACTGCTGAAGATGTGAAAAAATTGTGCCCTGTGCATAACCCCTGGAATAGACATCAGCAGATGGATGGAAAAATTCTCCGGTCTACCTAGCTACTGCCGCTCAGAGAGGTAAATTAACTACCATGATGGAAAAACCAATTAAGTTGCTGTAGTGTCTACTTTACCACATAGCACAGAAAGATTAAATGATTTACTGACAGCAACATGGGATATCTCTAGGAGTCTGGAATAAGAACCTAGACTTCTTGTCTTATGGTCCTGTGTTTTGGCCAAAAGACCATTTTCCCTCTTTTTACAGAATTCTGCCTTTAAAACAGAGATGGATTTAAACTACAATCCCAGATCTAAATGTCTTTATTTTGTAATGGCAGAAACAAAACTTGAGTCCTACAATACTTACAAATCCCCAATATAGGACACTCACTATAGTAAGACAGAAAGAGACTTTTTTCATGAAACATATTTATTCAGTTTACTAGGTTTTATTGTACAGCAATCTCCTTGCAGCCTTGAAGTGAGCTTATCAGAATGTGTTTTAAAATATTTATTTGAACTCAGGTTGAGGAGAATCCTGATCTGCAGATGGCTTAAGTTTGTAAATGAGAAAAGTTTGTCACAATGAGTGAAGTCTGTGTGGTGTAGGCTCCCACAGGTGAAACTAGTGAATACTTTACAGATTAAAAGGGAGAAAGGTAAGAAATAAATGAACTATAAGAACAGGAACACAAAGTAACATTCCATGACTAAAACAGGAAGAGACAGAACTTAAAATTAGCAAAAGCTGTATAGCACCAATTGAGTTATGAAGAAAAGCTTGTTGGTGCTGATACTATTAATAGTGCAAGAATTGTGTTAATGCTAAGAAATAACTAAGCAGTGGGGTTATTTAGGAGGTGGTCAGGATTTACAGCGGAGAAGGTGTCCTCACAGGTCTCTGGCTCTGCTGATGATAACCAGAAGGCTGCTTGCGTGTGTTCTCAATGATGTGGGCTGTATCAGCTTGTGCACTTAAGTCTCCACAGCAGATCCCAAGAGAGCCCCCAAAGACCACAAACCAGATAAGGATCAAAGGCACACGGCCAGGTTTATTGTTAAGCAAACGACAGTAATAGTTGTCAGTAGACTCTACTGAACCACTACACATATGTACCCCACAACAATGGAATGACTCAATCAGTGGGAAATTTCCACTGCCCCCATCAGTCATACAAAGACTGTTCCTCCAAGATACCACCTTATATACAGGTACTAACAACTTACATGTCACTGCTGACGTATCAGGATGCTACCCTCTGACACTGTCAGGTTACCACTCTCTGATGCTACTTAGATATCACCCATCACCTCATGGTTTGATTAGATCATCTCTATCCATTATGCTGTCATTTTAGACCCTTTCCTGAACTTCGGTCTGTATCTATGGGGAGTGGGTTCCAATGTCTTTTTTAATGAAATGGTGGTACCATGTGCTTTCAACAGTACCAATTACTGTTCTACACCTGGGCCTATTACTAATTAATGTTTCGCTCTCTTAGCCCTGTTCATGCCAAGTTCTGTGAGCAGGGGCCTGCCTCTTGCTCACAGCTTAGCTTTGTTAGCCATGTTTTGACTGTTGGTAGTGTAAGCGGAGTCAGGGTAAGCTCTATCCTGAAATCAGGTGGTGAACTGTGGCAAGTGGTGCAAAGAGACTTCAGGGGCTGATCCCAATTTGCATAGACACACCCACCACATCCAGTATATGCTCACAGCAGCCCAAATGGTTACTTTGGCCTTTGTGGGATCCCCAGTCTCTCTGTTATTGAGGCAGGGGGGATAAAAGTGTTGTTACCCTGATTATGCAAATCAAGGACAATGGAATGGTGGAACTGTTTATGACAGAGGGATTCTCCATGAACTAAGGAGCACTCACTACACATGGGGCATGGGTTCCAAACCCAGTCAAATTGAAAGAGGTTGGGGACAGGTCCTTATACTTAATGGTGGGGCATTGTCTGAGGGCCTAAACAATACTGGTTGTACCCCCTTCTGTTTTTTCTGTAGAATATCAGAACTAATTTAGATTCTATTAGAAGTCTAGTTGTGAGCTGCAAAGTTGACTTCACTGTGGAACACTAGCACTGAGGTTTCTCTACTGTGAGCTGAACTTGTTGAAGAGCTGAAATCACTGTGTGCTGTGGGGAGCCTGGTGCTATACTGCGAAAGAGCTGAAATCACTATTGTTGTGGGGAGCCTGGTGCTATGCTGCTGAGCTACTAGCAGAGCAGCTTGCAGGGACAACCAGCAAGCACAGGCTGACAGCAGAGCAGTTTGCCCCAGGGGAGGCAGCAGAGCGGCTGGCGGGAATG